CCTTGGCAAAGGCATAGTTCCCAATAGTGCATGGAATTGTAAAACTACCCGGATCAGATAGCTTTTCAGCAACAGGTCTAGATACCACTGCACTACATGTCTGAGTAAGGGTCACAGTCGACAAGTCTTGAAAGTCAAACTTCCGAGACATCAAGTCCTTCATCATTTTAGCGTATCCCGGCATCTCCTTTAGAGCTTCAATCAGTAGAATGTTTATCTGGATTTGTTTGAGCATCTCTAGGAACTTTTTATACTGCTCCTCCTTTTGATGCTTGGCCAACCTTTGCAGGAATGGTGCAGGAGGTCTTTTCTTCCCAATCACTTGGGATTTCTCCTTCTCAGCTACTGTCTCAACTATCCGCTACTATCTCAATTACTGGCTCAGCTACTGTCTCGGTCTCTTGCTGCATATTCTTTTCTTCAGGAGCATGCTGAACTGTTACCTCTGTCAATCCCGTAGAGTCATCCAGCTCAATGGGTACTGGAATTAGTGTCTCAGCTTGTATGTTTTCTCGAGCTCTCTCTTGCTCAACATCTAGATCTCTGCCATTTCGTAGACTCACCGCCATCAGCTGCTTTGGGCCCTGATCTTTTGGATTGATTTGGGTATCTGCAGGTAATGTCCCTTGAGGACGATTGTTAAGTGACATTGAAATCTGGCCCACTTGTACCTCAATATTCTTGATAGCTGCATCATGTGCATCCACCCTTTCATTTATTTTAGCATTGGACCCAATAACCTGCTGCATCATTACTTCAAGCCTTGCAAACCCATCTTCCTGTCTTCCACCCTGCTGGTGCTGAGGTGGGTGGTACCCTTGCTGCTGATTGTTGTACCCTTGTGGTCTAGGATACGGTGCCATGTTGTTGGGGGGTCTCATGCCTCCCATGTTTCCGGCGTTATACTGTGGCTGCGGTGGTCTGTACTGCTGCTGAGTCTGCTGACCCCAGTTCTGATTACCTTGCCTCTGACCCCCATAGTTAGCCACATAGTTCATATCTTCAGGGTGCTGGTGATGATGATCATGCTCTGTATTCCATGGATTACCAATTGGCTGGCTAATGCAAGATGTGCACAAGCCCCCATTGGTAGTGTCTACTATATGAACCTGTTGCTTCTGCCCTGATTCCTCCACCTTTTTGGTGAGGATGCTCATTTGGGTCAAAAGAGTCGCCATGTTTTCAGCCATTGTATTAGAAGGATCATGAGGCACTGAGTGCACCACTGGAGTGATGGGTGCATTCCTAGATGTCCAACCCGAATTCTGTGCCATCTTGTCGAGCAAATTCTGACCTTCTTTCCAAGTCTTGCTCAAGAATGCCCCACCAGCCGAGGCATTAACTATATTCTTTAAGTTGTCTGACAGTCCCATGTAAAATCGTTGTCCCAACATCTGCTCTGGAACACCATGGTGGGGGCACATAACCAACATTCCTTTAAATCTGCCCCATGTCTCGTGTAGTGTCTCCATTGGTTTCTGTTTGAAGCTCACAATCTCATCAATTTGTTGAGCGGTCTTGTTGGGAGGATGGAACTTGTTGTGAAATTGCTTGACCAACTCATCCCAAGTTTCTATAGAGTTTATGGGAAACGAGTTTAGCCAAACCTGAGCAGCTCCTGTCACCGAGAATGGAAACAATAATAATCTGATTGCTTCCGGAGTCACGTTCGGTTGCCTTTGAGTTTTGCAAATAGACAGGAAGTTCTTTAAGTGTTGCTGAGGGTCTTCTGTTTGTGTCCCAGAAAAAAGTCCCTTGTTCTGCAACAAGTGTAGCATGTTATTTGTGATCTGGAACGATTCAGCTTGTATCGCAGGCACAATAATGGCAGTGGCCAGATTGTCAGCTGTGGGTTGTGCCCAGTCATAAAGTGCACCCTCAGGCACAGGAGGTGCCAATTGCTCAATCCTGACGTTCCCGTTGGGGTCGTTTATGTTGCCCATGTCAATTTCGAGTTGGTGTGTTTGTTGTGATTGTTGAAGTCTTTTGTTTGCACGATTCAATGCCCGGAATGTCTTCTCGGGGTCTGAGAGTCCTTCAAGTAGTTCTCCAGTCCTCGTAGAATTTCTAGGCATGCACCTGTGTACCCAGATCAACAACCGTCAAAATTTTCAATGAAAAAGTTGGTAGAGAGAAAACTGACTACAACAAGAATCTTTGTATTTCTGTCAATGGCAATTGATAATTCCGTTAACTCCCCGGCAACGGCGCCAAAATTTGATCACGCCCAACTATGCCTTGTAAAAAAGGACTCTGCGGACGTTGCAAATATAACCCGAGTATTACGCCCAGGGTCGAATCCACAGAGAGTTAACCTATCAACCGCTATCTTCAGACCCACCAAGTCTTCAGAACCAGCTTCTCAAATATTCAAATTCTCAGTTGAGTGTTCTTTAACAACTAGCTTGCAAGTAACTAATGGCTGTAACTAAATTAATAAGGTTGTAAACAATTATGAGAAAAAGCTAAGGCAATGATTTCCCCTATTGATGGAATCCCTTCTGTTTATGCTCATACAAATTTACCCACACATCTCTATCAATCATGAACGCTAATCTTACCGCAACTCTCTCCCGAGTAATTACAGTAATCTACTATTGCACTCTCCCGAGATACACTAGCTTGCTTTATTTAGCACAATTCAATTTAGATTGCACCCAAGGCTTCGTTATTCCTAATCCCGCCTTTAAACCCGCAATTATAGATTCCTCTAATAATTTAGGAGTGGTGTTGTTCAACAATACCCTAAATATGCACTCTTTTCCAAGTTATGCACACTAAATAGGCACAGCTAATTGAGGATCATGTCAATTAACTACAACGAACACGAAGTTGAACAAATAAAGATTAAACTAGCAATTTGTATTCACATAAACAAGAAGTTCATCACCCAATAGGTTCCATCAAAGCCTTAGACAAGGAATTTAGCTACTCATGGCTATGGAAAAATAAACTAAGCTTGAATTCATCATAAAATCAAAAGAAAAGAAGAAAGATGTTTAGAGTATTCTCTCACAATGGTTTTGCTTGCTAAGAACCTTAAAAATCAATACATGCCTCTCTTGGGCGAAGTCTAATGTTTTAAATAGGGTTTAGGTCTAAAAATCCCGTAATTGACACTTTGGTCCCTGAAGTTTACTGCGCATGCCGCGGTTCTGCCGCGGTCGCGGTAGAACCGCGGCCAAACACCCTCGCGGAATCTCAATCTTCTGCAGCTGCTTCCCACCGCGGTTCTGCCGCGGTCGCGGTGGAACCGCGGTGGATCCAGTTCTCTGAATCTTCGGCCTGTTTTTGCACGGGTCACTTAGGAAATTTCACAGTTGGCCTCTTTTTCATCACTTTTGACTCCAAAACTGCTCCTTAGCCTTCTTTATACATATATCACCTACAAATCATGAAAAGCACTAATAAGAGCATTTTGTCATCACTTTTAGCATTAAAACTACACAAGAAGGTGATTATTTAAGGTGTGATTATAGTCAAATTCACCTATTATCACGGGGCGGGGCGGGTTGCGGGTTTAATGCGGGTTCAATGCGGGGCAACTTTGAATTTTATCTATTTTGAAACAAAATAATCATTTCAACTACAATTTCACATTCTTCTTCACTAGCACGAATGCTATTTTGATTTATAATTAACCAATTTGCATAAGTCTCACCGAAGTTATATATTGGAATTCAAATGTATGATTTTCTTTTGCCACGGAACTGACCCCGCGCAGGAACATTAAAGAAAAAATTTCACATATTCTTACACTAATGTTTCCATTACTATAAATCTACAGAAAACCTTTATAGTTAGCTTTTAATGTGAAAGTAGAAAACATAAGAAAATTTTTAAAATGATAATTTAATCAAGTGAACAAAGTTATAATTGAAACTGTCTAAAATTATATTTTTAGAACTGTTTTTAAAAGAAACATCCTCAAATCTAACTACAAAACATAATTTTTGCAAAAAGAACTAATATACTAGTAACTTTTAAAAAACTTAAACAAACACCGATTTGAAAATTTTCTAAAGCAAAGTATTGAAAATTCATGCACGAAATGCCAGGCGTTAAACGTCCATGAATATTGCTCAAATTCAAAAAAGGAATTTATAGCACAAAGTGCGCCGTTCCACACACTGTCAAACTAGTTTGTTAAAAAAAATTAAAGAAAAAAGAAAAAATAATTAAGTGGGGCGGGGCGGGGCGGGGCGAAAACTGAAAAAATAACTATGCGGGACGGGGCGGGGCGGGTTGAAATTTTTGTGGGTTTTGCCAAACCTGCCCCGCACCCGCCCCGCCCCGCCCCATTGCCATCCCTGTTTGAATGCTTGAGTGAATTTAACCATTGAAAATTATTGGAATCGGTAACAAAAGTTAGACGTCAAATTGGGAGCAATTTTGAACCGAAAACATGTTGGTTAAATTTCCAAACATCAAGTTTTAATGATCTACCGGGATTTATGATAAGGCAAGTCCTGCGCATCAATAAAAATTAAAATATCAGAACAAATTGGCCATTATATTGATGCAAAGCACTACGGATTATGTAGTGCATTTCACACAACTTAAGGCACTAAGGTACAAATAAAATATTATTGTTTATAAGACAAAGTAAGTGAGCAATCAATATCCGCAACAAATTTTAAGTGGATAAGTTATAAAGATGATTATGCACATCATTACGCCCTTGGATTTTTCACCTGGATTTCACTGATGTGAGAAACTCATCAAATCCTCTAACGGCGAATTCATGGATAGCTCGACTTAGTAATTTTGAGATTTTGGAAGACTCAAATTGATCTCTTTTCTTTTTTTCCTTTTTTAATTTGTAATTTTTCAGTTTGCAGCTTTCAATCACAAACTTGGAATGCATAAATTAAAGAAGATGTCCACGAAACATAACGCCTGCATATCTATCCTTCTATCCTTCATTCCTTCTACGGAAAACGTCATGATATTCTTCTAGTTTGTAATTCTAAGAATGTCAAAGTTAAAAATTTCAAATATAAAAAGATGTCAATATTCTTTTTGCAATAGATATTATATGATCACCAATTTAATTTTTTCAAACACAAATGTAGAACAACAAGAAGAAATTGATAAATTACACGATTAAGCAAAAGCAAAAAAAATTTAAAAAACTAACAGCTCCCTTCACCATTTTTCTCCTTATCAGCATACTTTTGAAGAGCGTCACCATGCAATTTCCCATACCTAAACTCATCAAATATTTCAACCCCCATTTCAATGTAAAAATCATAAGACTTCTTATTCCAAACTGCAACTATCCCTTCTACCGAAACGAAGCCATTGTTTGCAGCAATGGATGCAACAGTTCCGAACAACAATCTCCCCATTCCCAACTTTCTGTAACTCTCCCTGAAGTAAAGGCTCTCAAAATAGAAGCCGGGTTTGTCATAGAAGCACGAATAGTTGGCGTAAAAGAATGCATATCCCGCGATGAATACGTCTCGTTTATCATTTCCATCATCATACTTGGACCTGAACTCATCTGCTTCTCCTTCCACAACGGGAAATTTAAGGTCGAATGTTTTAAGGACGGGCTTGAAGCCTTCGTTCGTGGTAAGCTTGGATTCGGTAAAAGGGGTTGGAGAAACTTCAAGTAGAAGAACAGATGGTCCGTAATAGAGTGGAAGAGGATTTTCTTTGAAGAGCAAGTTTTGTAAGGAGGACTCAGTCGCTTTGTAAAGATGAGTATTGTTATGGTATGCATGGATTTGGTAAAACAGTTGGTATATATGGTAGAGGTCTGCTTTCGTAGCGAGACGTACTCTAGTATAGATTTTCTCAGTGATCGTAACGTTATTTTCCGGTGTGGAGTTGGTGGTTGTTTCAGATATAGTTGATGCCATGGTTTTAATCAGTTGAATGTTTTGGTATGGGATGTTTGAAAAGGTTTTAATAATGGTTATTTATAGTGGAGATGTGATCTCTTTTTAATTCGTTATTTAGTTAGTGGTGTTGGTGGAGGAAACTATGTGCGGGTTCTAGATATCATTAGTAATTAAGATAATCTAATATAAAATACTCTAAAATATGATAAAAAGTTTCTGAGTTAGGTGAAAGGGGAGTCGGCACTTTGGATACCGTCCACTACAATTTTTTGCTTCATATTCTAGTTACGTTGTTCTGTGGGGAAATACATTCGAATGGGAAAGGCAAAATTATAAAGAAACGATTTCAACTCACAAGAGTTGAGAAGATAGCAATGTCATATGATCACTCTAAAATTTCTTTAAGAAATCTGAATCAATAGAGAGGCCTAGCTAGGACATGGTAAGCAATATTTGGTCGAGTATAAGATGAAAAAATGATTATACAATTGGGTTATTTATTAGATAATTACAAATAGATTTACTAATACTAGCTTGCTATTACAGCTTAAATATCACTAATAATGCAAAAGAATATTTAAAGTGTATATAACTTAAATCTTAATATATATTTGTATGGCTAACTAATTCATCACTCTTTCAAAAGCATGTGAAGGAAACTTTTGATTCCCTTTGTTTGAATATTTGTGTTTCTCTAATAGGAATATTGAGAATATGGATACATGTAAGCAAATAAAGTGTTGGGGATTGAAGTTTAGTAAATGGGAAATGGAGGGAGGAAATGTGAAGGGAATGTAAGCTCCCTTATGCTTTGGAAAAAGCAATTGTTCCTCATCGGTGGTGGAAAGAAAAGAGAATGTGCTTTTATTGAAAAAGCATTTCCCTTGGTGTTAAATGAGTTGGAAAGAAGGCAAGCCTCGTGCCGTCGTTGTCGCTCAGTTCGCTTCGGATTTGATTAATCTTTTTGGATATTTTTTTTAATTATTTAATTAATTAACGAAAAGTCAACCCGGAATAACCCAGGACCCGTGACACAATCCAGCCCGTTTCTTTTCCTGATTATTTTAAATTAGTTTCCTAAAATATTTTAAACGGGAATCGTTCCTACCTGTTCCAACAGCCATAGTTGTTTCTGAAAGAATGCAAACTTTTCAGAAACAGTGCTAGAAAATGACTATAAATATGCCTTGATCCCAGAATCTTTCCTTACGAAATATTCTGAACTTCTTCTCCTTCTTCTTCACAATTAAATTCCAATTTCATTTACAGCCATTAAGTGGTTCGCTGTTCATCGGTATTTTTGGTACCGATACTCTGGTGAGGTAAATCGTTCTATCCTGGAAGGATTATATTCCAACACTTCGGGTACTTGAGGGGAATAATTTCTTAAAGGACACACTGTGCATCAGTGGGCTCGATTTAATTTCGAAATTATTTTCAGATTCTGTTTGATTATTTCAACATTTTGTTTATATTTTTTCTGTTACAGAAAGTTTATTGTTTCATTATATTATAGCATTATAGTTTGTCCAACAATCTTAAGGAAATTAATTTTTATACTGTAATCAGCATTCTATTTTGGAGATTAAAACTTTTGTGGTTTTGTACTCCTTTTGATTTTTCTATTTCTTATTTGAAGATATAAAAAACTTTATTGGAATATTAAAATTCAGAAATGATTTGAAGAACATCAAAACTTCATCGTTTTTCTTGTAAAACAGTATATACAAAACTTTAGTTTTTGTTTATTAGACATGCTGTTTATTATTCATTACAGTATTGTTTACTGTTCTATTTTTTGCCGTTAATTAAACTCTTATGTTGTTGACAGTGAAAATAATAATTGATAATGTAAATCTTTTTGGGACTGTTGCGGCAACGACGATAGCCTCGTCAAGCCGAACTGCTGTGCCACTGACCGAAAAATCGGGAAAATTTTCTGGAGCCAACTTCAAAGGTGGCAGCAAAGGGTGTTCTCTTGGCTTACCACGCTTGGTATGCAGAAATTCACTAGTGAAGACCCTCCAGTGCCTGCCGCCGACATGCCAGACAACGAGAAGTTTATGATTGTTGAGGCCTGGAAACAGGTAAATTTTCTTTGCAAAGGCTACATCCTAAGTGCTTTGAGGACGACTTTTACAATGTCTACAGTGCTATGAATACTTCAAAAGAATTATGGGATGCACTTGAGAAGAAGTACAAGATCGAAGATGCGTGCTTGAAAAAGTTTGTGGTTGCCAAGTTTCTAGACTATAAAATGATAGACAGCAAAACCGTTGGAACAGAAGTTCAAGAGCTTCAACTTATTTTTCACGACCTTATTGCTGAAGGTATGGTAGTGAATGTAGAATTTAAAGTGGCTGCAATGATTGAACAGTGGCCTCCTTCATGGAGAGATTTCAAAAATTATCTAAAGCACAAGCGCAAAGAAATGAAGTTGGAAGATCTTGTTATTCGTCTCAAGATTGAGGAAGATAACAAAATAGCCAAGAAGAAGTCTCGTGGAAATTCAACGATTATGGGAGCTAATATCTTTGAAGAGACAGCTCTAAAAAGTAAGAGGAGGAAGAGTTCTTCTGGACAGACTAAGGACCAGAACAAGAAAAAATTCAAGGGCAACTGCTACAATTATGGAAAAGTTAATCACAAAGCCCGTGATTGTCGTCTCCCGAAAAAAGGACAAGAAAAAGGGACATGCCAACATAGTGGACAAGAATGATAACATTGATTATCTGTGTGCAATGCTTTCGGAATATAACTTAGATGGAAATTCGAAAGAGCGATGGATTGACTCTGGAGCCACTCGACATGTTTGTGTTGTAAAAGAAGCATTTGCGACTTATTCTAGTTCCGAAGAAGAGCTTTCCATGGGAAATACTGCAATAGCTAAGATTGGGTTATGGGAAGATATTCCTGAAGATGACTTCCGGCAAGGTGTTAACGCTCCATAACGTTCTTCATGTTCCTACTGTTAGGAGAATTTTAGTTTCAACTTCTTTACTTGTTAAGAATGGATTCAAATGAGTTTTTGTATCTGACAAAGTTGTTGTAAGCAAGAATGATATGTATGTTGGAAAGGGCTACCTCACAAAGGGCCTTTTCAAACTCAATATAATGGTTGTTGATAGTATTAATAAAATTTCAGCTTCTTCTTATTTTTTGGAGTCAAATGATTTATGGCATATTTGTTTAAGACATGTCAACTACAAAACCTTGCGGAAGTTAATTAATTTAGAAGTAATGCCTAAATTCGAGTGTAATAAATCAAAATATCAAATATGTGTTGAATCTAAGTTGGTAAAACATCCTTATAAGTCTATTGAAAGGAATTCAAATTCTTTAGACTTAATTCATACACACATTTGTGATATGAAGTCAACATCATCTCGTGGTGGAAAAAAGTATTTTATAACTTTTATTGATGATTGTACTCGATATTATTATGTTTATTTGCATAACTGTAAGGATGAAGCAATTTAAGCATTTAAGCAATACAAGAATGAAGTAGAGAATCAATTGAATAAAAAGACTAAAATGATTTGAAATGATAGGGGTGGAGAATACGAATCTCTGTTGCAGAAACATGTTCGGAATATGAAATTATCCATCAAACTACTTCCCCTTACACACCTCAATCCAATGGAATTACGGAGAGGAAAAACCGCACATTAAAAAAAATGATGAATTCTTTATTAATAAGTTCCGGCTTAGCGCAGAGTTTGTGGGGGAAAGCTATCCTTACAGCTAACCGAATACTCAACAGAGTACCCCATAGCAAAATGCAGTCTGTTTCATATGAAAAATAGAAAGGAAGAAAACCGAAATATTTTAAAGTGTGGGGGTGTTTAGCAAAGGTACAAGTACCTTTACCCAAAAGGGTAAAAATCGGACAAAAAACTGTGGATTATATTTTCATTGGATATGCTACAAATAGTAAAGCATGTCTGTTTTTGTTTCATAAATCTGATAATCCCAAAATTCATGTTAATATGGTAATTGAATCAGATAATGCTGAATTCTTTGAAAACATCTATCCGTATAAAACTGAATGCGAGTCTCAAGTTAAAGACCTAAATGACCGCGGGAAGAACCAAAGGAAAATACCCCAAGTGAAGAAGATCCAAAGCATAGCAAACGTCAAAGAAAATCTACTTCATTTAGACCGGATATTGTGACATTCTTGCTTGAAAATGAGCCTCAAACTTTCAAAGAAGCTATGTCATCTTCTGATTCGGCATTTTGTAAAGAGGCAGTCAATAATTAGATTCAATCAATTTTGGATAATCATACATGATAACTAGTTGATTTTCCTCCAGGAAATAAGTCTTTAGGTTCGAAATGGATCTTTAAGAGGAAAATGAAAGCTGATGGTACTGTCGATAAATATAAGACAAGACTTGTTGTCTTTTACACCCCATGTATTCGTACGTAAGAGTACGTCGTAAGTCAATTGATGTAAGCTCAGAAATGAAATTATCTTTGAAAAGTTTACAAAGTTAGTTAATCATGTTAACGTGGAGGTTACAAATATTTAAGATCATGAATACCAAGTACCAAGAGGGTTTGAAGGTGTAGAAGCTAAACGATTTGAAGCAAATATGTTTCGTCGAAAGTCGACAAGTTGGGAGTGTTATAACATGTACTTTTAGGGTGAGACTATGGTGCTTAACATTATAAGGATAATATTTTATGAGTTGTTTTAGTCGTATGATAGTCGTGTGTTATGTTTTTAAGTCAAGCGAGTTGTGGAACAAAAGTTGGAAAAGGTATTCACAAGTTCCATTCATAAATGTGTTGAAACTTAGGTCAAATGTAGTTGAGCTTTTCTCCACATATACTTGGAACTAGGGGATGATCTACATACCAAATTGAAGATCTACGAGTCTAATTTCTAACTCTTTTAATCGTTCATCCATACGATATCGGAATAGATAGATATTCATATTTCCGTGAGACTACACAAAGCAGCTCCCATGGGACCCACAAAGTCGGTGTAAATTCCAACTTGTATTTAAGCCAATTCTAAATCGTTTTCACTTATTTTTCTCGTTAAAAACAGTTCCTAAACCC